CACTGCAATACCGGCGTCACCATCCAAGGCACGGTGGGCACAGAGGGTGGTGGATGGCTCTGATACCATTGATACAACCTAGGGAGAACCACACCCCAAAAGCTAGCTATTAAGGTGGGAGAGCCCAAGGCTATATAAACCCCACATCAACACTTTGTAGTACCGATGTGGAGCGTGGTGGTTTGTTATGAACTATTGCAAGGAATGGGACTTGAGTCCCATTCCATAATATCTTATTGGAAAAAATTCGCAAAACTTAATAACTTTTTATATTGTTCCAATATATCACAATAAACACTAAAAAAAGTAAAAGTCAAGACTATATTTCATTCATTAAAAGTCAAAACTCAAAATAAACTATTCAAGAGAACGTCCACGATGCTTATAAGATATCCAACACATCATTTTCATCAAACATATTTTGAATCCGCTTGTGACAATGTTGTCTTAACATCTTCACTTTCATCTACATCTACAATTCATATGCAATATTTATTAGTTAAATATTAAGAATAATTAAATTTTAAAAACTAATGATATTTAAAATTCACATAAAAAAATATTACCAGTTTGAGTTTGGAAAAAGTTGTGCAGTCAATTTCGAGTAGTAACAAGTATTTGGACATTTTCATAATCAATGCAACTTCTATACTTTGTAAGAACACGCCACCAATGCTAAATGTTGATTCTGATGCTACAATGGTAAAAGGAATAGTAAGTACATCACGCACCATCACTGAAAGATCGGGATATTTTCTATAATGGTTCTTCCAATTACATGACAACATCAATCTCTTGAAACTTCTCAAGATCAATATATATATATATAATATATATATATTAATATATGTGTGTGTTGTGTTGTGTTGTGTGTGTGTGTTGTGTATGAATTTTCTTGATTTTTTCTTGTATTTATTTCTTTATACTTGTAATTTATAAAAAGAATATAAACATATAATCCGCCATTGATAGCTACAGCTAGGCAAGAGTAAATTTTTGTAATAATTGTAATGTAGGATGTTGATATTTTGAAAGAATAGATTTTTACCTCCTATACTACATATGAAACTTTATTACCCTCCCTAACCAAGTTTAACTTAATTACACAGTCATATATAATTTATCAATTATATACAAATTAGTATTAATGAGTATCCCTTTATATTTAGGAATTGAATAGGGAATCACACCTCTCTCTCTACAAATTATTTCTCCCTATCTATATTGTGTTCTTTTATGTATGATAGTTTCATAGTCTCTCTTTTATAGTGTATAACTATTATAGGCGGAGCTAGAGTGGGAAGGGCATCACGGGTAGAGCTGTCAATATGGGATGGGTCGGGCTGGGCTAGCCAGCCCGGCCCATATGGGCTTTAGTAAATGATGGGTTGGGCTGGGCTAGCCCACCATTTCGATGGGCCTTATAATGGTCAGCCCACCCCAACCCTATGTGGATCACGGGCCGGCCCATCATTTTTAAAAATATAATTTTTATATTTTTTTCTTTAAGTTCAGACCTAAAAAAAGATAATTATTTAAAAGTTAAAAAATATCTTATTGGAAAAAATTCGCAAAACTTAATAACTTTTTATATTGTTCCAATATATCACAATAAACACTAAAAAAAGTAAAAGTCAAAGACTATATTTCATTCACTAAAAGTCAAAACTCAAAACAAACTATTCAAGAGAACCTCACGATGCTTATAAATATCCAACACATCATTTTCATCAAACACATTTGAATCCGCTTGTGACAATGTTGTCTTAACATCTTCACTTTTCATCTACATCTACAATTCATATGCAATATTTATTAGTTAATATTAAGAATAATTAAATTTTAAAAACTTATGATATTTAAATTCACATAAAAAAATATTCCAGTTTGAGTTGTGGAAAAAGTTGTGCAGCCAATTTCGAGTAGTAACAAGTATTGGACATTTTCATAATCATTGCAAACTTCTGTACTTTGTAAGAACACGCCACCAATGCTAAAATGTGATTCTGGATGCTACAATGTAAAAGGAATAGTAAGTACATCACGCACCATCACTGAAAGATCGGGATATTTTCTATAATGGTTCTTCCATTACATGACAACATCAATCTCTTGAAACTTCTCAAGATCAATATATATATATATATGATGTGTGTGTGTGTGTGTGTGTGTGGTGTATGAATTTTCTTGATTTTTTTCTTGTATTTATTTCTTTATATTTGTAATTTATAAAAAGAATATACACACTATAATCCGCCATTGATTAGCTACAGCTAGGCAAGACGTAAATTTTGTAATAATTATAATGTAGGATGTTGATATTTTGAAAGAATAGATTTTTACCTTCCTATACTATATATGAAATTTATTACCCTCCCTAACCAAGTTTAACTTAATTACACAGTCAATATATAATTTATCAATTATATACAAATTAGTATTAATGAGTATCCCTTTATTATTAGGAATTGAATAGGGAATCAACCTCTCTCTCTCTTCCCCCTCCCCCCCCCCCCCCT